CATACTGACCCGCCCCCAGCCCTCCCCCACACACTGACCCCCCCAGCTCCCCCACACACACCCACCACACACACTGACCCCCCCCCCACCAATCTGCCACTCCACTCTAGCCTCGGCCAAGTTGTCCTTCTACTCAGGATAATCCTGGAGGCGAAGAACAACCCCAGGCTACTGTTTTCTACCACATCCCGACTCCTCCGTCCCCACCGCCACCCCGCGCAGGTCATCTCCTCCAACCTTCACTGCGAGGAGATGCTGGATTTCCTTGAATCCAAAATCAAGGGAATCCGCTCCGCGGTCACTGCCCCTCCAACGTCCACCCACCCCTTCCCTCCCACACTCCGACTCCTACCCATCCTCCCCTACACACATTCAAACCTGTTTCCCCACCCTCTGTCACCAAACTCATCCTGTCCCTGAAACCCACCACCTGCTCCCTTGACCCCATCCCCACTCCACTCCTTATCTCCCAGCTCCACCTCCTTGCCCCACATATCACAGACATCATCGACCTGTCCCTCTCCTCTGGCTCTGTCCCCATTCCCCTAAAAACTGCCACCATCACTCCCACCTTGAAAAAACCCTCCCTTGATGCATCGCAGCTATCAAGCTACCGGCCCATCTCCAACCTCCCCTTCCTGTCCAAGGTCCTCGAAAGAGTCGTCCTCCTCCACCGCTTGTCCTCCCGCCTCAACCTTCAAGGCCCTGTCCTTGAGTGGTTTAGGTCGTACCTCTCCCACCGTCTTCATTTTGTTTCCACAAACGGCTTTTCCTCCAGCCCCCGCACTGTCTCGTGCGGTGTCCCTCAGGACTCTGTCCTCGGTCCCCTCTTCTTCACCCTCTATATGCTTCCCCCTTTGGTGACATCATCCACAGACATGGGGTTAACTTCCACATGTATGCGGATGACACCCAACTCTGCCTGTCCGACATCGAGTCCTGGACGAGAGACAACTTTCCTCAGCTCAACGTGCGTAAAACCGAGGCCCTCCTGATTGGCTCACGTCAGCGCCTCCGCACCTCAGGCGCTGACAGCATCAGCATCCAAGGCTGCACTCTCCACCTCTCAACGCCATCAGGAGCCTCGGCGTTCTGTTCGACCCTGAGCTGTCCTTTCTCCCTCACATCCGCTCCACAACTGGCACCGCCTTCCATCACCTCCGAAACATCTCCAGACTACGGCACTACCTCACCCCTCACGCTGCTGAAACTCTGGTTCACGCCTTTGTCACCTCAAGGCTGGACTATGGGAACTCTCTCCTCGCCGGCCTTCCCGCCACCTCCCTCCACAAGCTGCAGGTCATTCAGAACTCTGCAGGTCGTGTACTGTCCCGCACCAGGCTTCGCGACCACATCACTCCCACCCTCGCTCGCCTCCACTGGCTCCCCATCCCCCAGAGGATCGAATTCAAGATCCTCATCCTCACCTACAAGGCCATTCACGGCCTTGCTCCCTCCTACCTCTCTGACCTACTATCCCCCCCATGTACCTGCCCGTACCCTCCATTCCTCTGGCTCTAGTCAGCTCCACATCCCCCGCCCCAACCGCCCTACCATCGGTGGCGGGCCTTCAGCCTCTCAGCCCCGAGGCTCTGGAACTCTATCCCCCAGTGCCTTTGCCGCCTCCTCCCTTTCCTCCTTCAAGCCCGGTCTCAAGACCTTTCTCTTTGACGGTGCCTTCAGCTCCCCTCTCGACTCTCTACCCCTCTCGCTCCTCCCTCCCTTCCCTCCCCTCACCCTGACCATTTCCCCCAATGCTCAGGTCCTGACCCAACTGTACAGCGCCTTGGGACGTCCTCCCAACATGAAAGGCGCTCTATAAATGAAATCTTGTTGTTGACCCTCCTACACACACTACCACACACACTGACCCCCCCCATCACCCACCCCCACACACTGAAGCCCCGCCCACACACTGACTCCCCTCCCACACACACACTGCCCCCCCTCCCACACACACACTGCCCCCCCCACACACCAACACTGGCGCCCCCTCCACATACTGACCCCCCTCCCACACACACAGTGCCCCCCCCACACACCAACACTGGCGCACCCCACACACCAACACTGACGCCCCACCACACACCAACACTGACCACCCCCACACACACCAACACTGACCCACCCCCACACACCAACACTGACCCCCCACACACACCAACACTGACCCCCCCGCACACCAACACTGGCGCACCGCCACACACCAACACTGACCACCCCCACACACACCAACACTGACCCACCCCCACACACCAACACTGACCCCACCACACACACCAACACTGACCCCCACCGCACACCAACGCTGTCCCCCCCGCAATCTGATACACACCAACAGTGTCCCCCACCCCCCCATCATATATTCAACTCTAAAACACACTTCACAGAATATATTGTAAAGTGTAGTGACTGTATTTGTAGGCAAACAGCAGCCAATTTTGCATTGCCATAAAATCACATGGAGTGCGTGTTAACCAGAGTCCAGGAGAAACTCCCTTCACTCTTCAAAGTGACATGGGATCTTTAATACCCACCTGAACAGGCAGACAAGTCCTCAGCTTGACGTCCAAGGGCTGGTGTCGATTGTGCGATCGTTAGAAAACTATTTCTGGACCTAGAATTTTAGAACTTATGATTTTTAAAATGATAGTGCATGAAGGGAGAATATAAAGTATAATTCCATATCCCTGGAGGGGAGCGCTGACACCTAGTGGCACTTTACGCTAGTATAAAGTAACAATGCATTAAAAACATCACAAACGTTATTCCATTGTTGTCACTGCAAGTGATAGTCAAGTCAAACAGTTATAAAACCTCAGATGTTATATATTCAGGAGAATTAGACCTGTAGGCTAGTTATGTATCTTTTATACATTATAACACAGTTAATGTAGTCTCACTCCAATTTTATTGTTTCAATTACATTATCCTTGAATATTACACAATAATTATATCGTAATTACATTTATTGGATAAATAGCACAAGTGATCTGCATAGCAAACTCTTATAATAATTATTTATGCAGTTACCAAACTGTCATTTGTATATTTCAAGACTTGTTCTTGTACACTTTGTTATAACTGTTTTGACGTTTGACTGATTCATATCCTTATTTCATCTCTGTTAAACGTCAGAGTTTATAGCACAAAAACTATTTGAAATTGCTTATAATAGTGAAGCAAAAGTAGAGCTTTTATTTTAGCCTCTTGCTTGTCAGACATCAAGGTCTGGATGTGTGTCAACTTTCTGCAGCTGAATGTTGACAAGATGGAAGCTATACTCCTCAACTCCCATCAATGTCTTTTCACCAGTGGCTCCGACCTCCTTAATGTCCCTAGCCTATCTCTTAGACACTGAATATGTGTACACTTGTCAGGTTCAATCACTAAGCTGTGCTTCCTACCCCACATCCGGTCGCTGGATGTGGGGTAAAAACTAGGTCACTTTCCTTCACTTCCATCATATTTCCCATCTCTGACCTTACCTCACACCCAACGCAGATTAAAAGCTTATCTACGTATTTGTCACCCCCTGCCTCGATCATTCCAATGACCGCTTCACCACTGCACAATTCATAAAATTCAGCTAATTCAAAATTCCGCCATATCCTGACCTACACAAAACTCTGCACCCCCATCACTCATCCTTGCCAAGCTCCACTTGCTCACTATTGCAGAACAAATTGACTTAAAAATCTTCACTTACGTACAAATCAATTCACACCCTGGAACTCTCTACCTCTCTTACCTGCTTACACCCCACTAAACCAGCCACTGCCTCCGGCCTCTTGCGTGTCCCTCATCCCCTTGGCTCCACCATCAGCAGCCGTGCCTTTAGCCACTGGGCCCTCAAACTACTGAACTCTCTGCCTCAATCCCTCTACCTTGCCCCCTCCTTAACCACCTTCAAATCACACCCGAAGACCTTTCTCTTCAACCGTGCCTACGGTCACCTCCCCCCCTCTCCCAGGTTCGGTATTAAACTCTGACATTCTTAAGTGCTCCAAATTGCTACCCCGCATGAAGGGGCGTATATAAATGCAAGTTGTTGTTGTCGACAATGTGTTCAAACTAGGATCTACCTGTGCAAGTGTTGTGAACAGGAACAAAACAATACAACTAACTACAAAACTTTAAGATGATTGTGGGAACAAATTTAACACTGCTTTTTTAAAGAAAGGTATATATTACTAAGGGAAGATGATCTTAGAATTTTGGGGTGCGACATAGTTTTGTACTCGACTTTCATAGAAAAAGTACAGAAACCTCAAGTCAAACTAATGCAATACATTTCAATTACTGTATTTTCCACTTTTGTACATACTTCATCAAAATAGAAAGAAATTGTACAATTAATCTAATCTTTACATTGTTCTTCCTAATTGCAGAAGCATAATTCTATTGAGACGTTTCAGAAGTAATTTGACTTCACTACTGATTGGCTCTAAAGCTCAACACCTGAGTTTAACACGGTTTATCCTTAGATCATATTTTGCTTTGCTCATCCATCTAGGTTTGTGCAGATGTTCTGACTGGAAGATAAAACTAAATTCAATGTACTGTATGTAGCAATGTATCCCTATTTGATACAAACTGAATAAAAGCTGCAAGAATAGTGTGAGAAGACAAAATAGGATGATGCCGTGTACACATCATGAACACTAAATGACTTGGTCCTTAAAACATTAAAAAAGTGACACAGTATACTTCTCGGGGATTCTACAGAATCAACTGTTAACACTAACATCCCAAATAAAAGAATTCAGTGCTGCCATATTCACTTAAATAGCAGCAGAGAAACGAAGAACCACAAAACTCTTAATACCACAGTTTTGCATAAAATTGATGCAATTCCAATGAACAAATTGTAATGTATACAAAGTCAATCAAACATTAATAAATTATAGTGCACAGCACTTGCGGTCCCATTTATTTTTAAACACACTTGTATCTTGACAGGCTCAAACCTATTTCAGAGACAACAAAGGAATTAAATCTCTTTTAAATAACAGATTTTTATTTTTTAAAAAAACAAGACATTAGAGGCCTGGCTCTACAAATTTCAATCACAATTTATTAAGCATAAGCTGCATACACATATTGTACAACTTAACATCCTGCAGAATTTTGAAGGACTAAACCTCTGAAGAGTCCTGTATTATGCATCATTGCAGTGTCCCATGACATTTGTCTACAACTTTATATTAACCTGTCAAAGTTAATTTATGCTTTTCACTGTAACCACCAGAGAGAAAATGGGTTTCACCTACTCATTTTATTTAGTCCGACACTCCACAATGGGAAGTGAGTATAGCTTCGCTTTGCATCTCCCAATAAATACTTTCTATTCTTGATATACGATTGCAACATGGCAATCTGAACATTTCAGATGAAGTTACTTTCAGCAATGATGGCAGGTACTTTTGAGTGTTCACTGTAATACAATTAGAAGACAAGTGATGGGGGAAACTACACAATTGTGTGTAATTGATTAGTGCATTCAGAATCATCCTCATGCCTAATTAAAAACCTTATTTTCCCTTTGAAAACTTTTTTTCCCCAGCATGAGAAGTGTCTTTGGACAGTTTAATAACAAAATCCCTTTTTCCAGATCAGTGATACAGAACTTCTATAAAGTCAGATCATTTAGAGGTTACCAAGGGAAATGTTGAGGGAAGTCGCTATAGATCCTGAGAGGTACCTGAAATAAGGTGAAATGAAGGTGGAGTTTTGTTCGATTGAAGATTGCTAATACAGTTTGGGATAATCAACGTTGAGGATGAATCGGGTAAAATCACAATATTACCCACGGTTAAGATCATTGGCATTTGGTTTGTCATTTGAATGTCCCATATATGAACAGCTATGACATGATGGTCCAATAAATTACTTTTTAGGCATTCATCAGTCCTGAGTGATACAAATAAATGTATTCGCCTTCTCATTTTGAAAATAAAACACAATAACTTCCAGAAATATCTTGATTTTCCCAGATTTTTAAAACTAAACAAGTTATGCTTCAAACTACTTAGTTGCTCAAAGAGGTCAGTTCTGTATATAGCACAGAAAACGAATCCTAGGCATTGTATTCAGATGAAATTGGGAAATAGTTCAGGTATTCTGAATATTACTTTAATAAATACATAGTTCCCTTTATGGAGCATTCAATGCCTGAATTTATAACAAACAGTAACATTTGGAAAAATCCAAAGTACATATGAATTGATCCAAATTTGGATCAAGAACTCATTTTGATATTGTCCTCAACATATGGTCAAAATACATCCAGGGATAACTGCAGTCTTTATAGCTTTGTCCAGATTGCTGTCATGTCCCTCAGGTAATGAGAATGATACTCAGCAGTCCATTCCCTCGTCACTCTCATACCAATCAGACGGTGCATCGGTGCCAAAATATCGATCTCCAAAGTTACCTGCATATTAAATACAACATTTATTAGTTGTGATTATTTATTATTATAACCCTCAAACAATATCTGGGTTACAGGTCAGGATTAAAATACACCTCTTAAAAAAAGATTCTGGGCAAGTTTCCACTTCTTTTTCAATTAACGGTTACTTTGTTAATTGAAAGTTAAGTTACTTTGCTAACTTACTTAAAAATCTTGTTTTGATCTACTTCCCTACAGGGGGCATATACTAACTATACACATTAGAAATTACACTAATTTGTTACGTGTTCCATCCCAGGTACTACATTGAAGATCAATGATTACCACAAGCATTATTTCACTAATATTTCGCTAATGTCATTCTCTTTGACCAGCACAAGTAATATTTCTAATTATGAGTCCAGATTGAATCATTACATAATAATCCTTACACGGATATTGTATCATACCCATTGCAAAGCCCTATGCTGAGACTTTGGCTTACACTCCAATGCAATGCTGGGAAACGTTCTGCATTGATGGAGGTGCTGTTCTTCGGATAAGACATTCAACTGAGATCGCATATCCTCATTCAGGTGGACATTAAAGAGCTCATGGCACTCTTCAAAAGGAGATATTTCTCCTGATGTTATGGCCAACAATCCCCCATATAAAATTCATTATCCACTTCATTCAATCCAGTTTACAAATATTACAAATTAGACCCCAATATCAGAACAATTAAATTAGAAAAAACAAGGCTCTAGCCTTCAATGTAAACCCAGTTTTAATAGAGAGAAAATGACTAGTCAGTCCAGCAATAATTTTAAGTGAGCCATCACACGATTTTTTATATTTTGAAGGAAAGGTGAATAAAATTAATACCATTTAGCTTCTTTCTAACAATAATCACAAAAGCTCAAGAATACCTTACCTATTCCTGGAATTATATGGAATTCATCATTTACTTTCTTGTCCACTGCTGTTGTGATGATATTGACCTTAGGAAAAGCATAAGCAACAGAATGCACACCCATCTCAGCCATTAGCAGCGAGATCAGAAAGATTTTATCCTCTTGTACATCATGATCCTGAAATAGCAATAAAAAAATAATTGTAAATAAAGCCTACAAAATGATAGCTTTATCTCTTACGTTTCCCCCACAAAATACAGTCATTTTACAGCTGTGAAGGCGCTTTAAGAGGTCTCAAAGACGTGATAAGACGCCACATCAAATGCAAGGATTATTACATTATATATAAAGTATTACATGTACATAATTAGTTTCCAATCATTTCCATTAATGAAAACAAGCCACTTTATTTTAAAAAAGATTCACATGCTTTGTAGTATATTCAGTCTCTCATGTGTCCAGTCATCAAGCAGAATGGTTCAAACAATTTACAGAAATAAACTACCTACAATTTGCTAGTTAGAATGAGATCTTTCTCATAATCATTATCACTAAATATTGCAATTTGTTTTGCCACAGGTGATGTATCATACTTAATACAGACAGCAATCCACACTCTTTTTGTGCAACTGGTTACTCACCAAAAGGACTCGAACTGCCATCATAGCAGCAGCTCCTGTTGATACTGTACTGTCCATGAGTATTACATAATCCTCACTGATATCCTTTGGTAACCGAAGATAATGGAGCTGGGTGAAGTAAGACAAGAGTATATTAGTCACAAAAATGCAAGGTAATTTTCATCCTTCTGAGACATGCATAACCAACGGCACCCCGAGTATTAAATAGAGGAAAGCAGGAATTCTTTGGGAGTAGAACCATCTCCATCATGACTGTGATGGCCATCTCTATTGAGAGACTGCCTGTTTAATTACATAGAATGTTACAGCACAGAAATAAGTTATTTGGGCCCAACTAGTACATGAGGATGAAGGGAAAGAGTTGAGCCAACTCTCTGTGGATTATGTAATCCAATACCTGAGACAGAGAGCGCTCCAGAGCACTGTTAATTGATCAGCCTGTCTGGCTCAACAACGGGAATGAGCGAGGTAGACTTGTCATGGGGAAAGGTGTTGAAATTCTTTCCCACTCAGCAGCAGCTAACAAGTAGGGTAGCCCAAACCAGCAAACAGCAGGAAGCTTATCAGTGCTTTGAAGTCAAGACTTGGTTTATGTCGCACAGTTAACCAATAGAGCTGATATTGATTAAGCTGCACTGCCCTAGATGTTGTTAGTTAACAGTAACTAGTATACTCTTTAGAATATGTGACTAATATACTGTTTAGTGTGCTAATACATACCTCAGGTTCTCCTGTATCATGGTTTGTTTGAATGAGAATCTTCCCTAGTCTGATATCCTTACACACTGCTGTCAGTGCTTGCTCCATTGTTTCACCAGCGCGAAGAATAGAGACTCCAGTTATCTAAGGAGTTCAAAATAGTTCTTTATTTCAATCCCGAATATGGTGATAAAATTATTGCAGATGCTAATCATTTCAAACACTATCAATGAATGCAGCTTTAAGATAAAATGTTTTTTTCTAATCGTTTAAGGATGACACATAAACACAAAATGGTGCTCTTATTATGTCAAACTAAAATGGTAGTTGACAATAAAAAAAGGATGTAATGCTGGAATTATTAATTTTAGCCATTCAATGAACTACTGGGTGACCAAAAGTCGTGATGTCTACCTTTACTATCTAAAAATAATATATATCCAAATTTCTTTAAGACATCGTATCATGACTTTTGGTCACCCTGTAGAAGAAAATATTTACAAAGATTACAAAGAATGTACAGCACAGAAAAGGTCACTCAGCTCAACCAGTCCATGCTAGTGCTTATACTCAAGACAGGTCTTCACCCATTCCTTACTCCTTCCCATATCCTTTTTAGATTTAGAGAAATAATTAGAAACTTCTCCACCTTTTCCTGCTTGACTCAATAGACCAATTACAATTTTGGATTACAAATAACCTGTCTTGTGTTCCCTACTTTAGTTGAAACAGAAACCTGTCTGAATATTCCAGCATCACCATGACTGTTATGTTTTTTGGGGTGAAGTAAATTCCTCTTGTTGCGAACTATAGCAACATGAAAATTCACTTTAATGAGAAAATTCCATGTATAACTTCATGTTGTCAAACGGCAGTAGAAATCCATAACATCCTGACAGCAAAAAAAACTGAAGGAGCTTTTTGGTTAATACTGGATGCATGAAAAACCCTAGGTTACATAATGGTTTACATCAAACTGAGAATTTCATTATATTTCTGCAAAGTTTTTCCTCAAGGAAAATATAAAAAAAAGCAAAATATGACCATGCAGAGCTGTCCAGTTTCCATACTTTATTTCAGATGATGTAATGCTTCATATCTCTCTATTAATGAAGGTTCCACAAAAGAAATGAGCTACAAATTAACCTGTCACCATAGTGAAATAGAAATGAGAATTCAATGACTGATGCCGTGTTTTGTACAGTGTTAAGCTCATTACTCAGTATGTACTCTTTTACCTTATACAGTACATTTCTATTAAGACAGCAACAACAAATTGCATTTATATAGCATTTTTCACATTGAAAGGACGTCCCAATGTACTGGACAGTGACGCGTTTGCACGCAAGCTGGAGGTTGAATTCAAGAAGGGTGTGGAGCAAGGAGTTTGGGGGTGGGAAGATGACCAAAGGCACGATCAAAGAGGAAGGCTTTGAGACAAGTCTTGAAGGAGGCAAGGAGGGGCGAGGCGACGCGACCCCGAAATGGAGTTCCAGAGGGTAGGGCAGAGAGGTTGATGACTCGACCGCTGATGAGGCGGCAGAGAGTCATGGAGCAGGCCAGTGCCTGCTGAGTGGAAGGATCAGGTAAGGTGGTAAGATTTTAGCAGGTCGCAGAGGGAGAGTGAGGAAGGCCGTGGAGGACTTCAAAAGTGAGGACAAGGATCTTGAACTCAATCCTCTGGGGAGCCTGTGAAGCCAAGTGAGGACTGGAGTGATTGGCTCACAGAGCTTGGTGTGGGAAAGGACATGAGTCTCAGTCTGGCTCTCATTCTACAGAGTGGGAGAAGAATAAAATCATGGAACTGGTGACAAACATGAGCAACAACAAGTGAAAAACTACAATGCAACCCCCCATGGAACTGATATAATGGCAATCACTAACTCATTATTAGCAATAACTATAGGTAGGATTGATGCTTTGCATGTCTACAATTTTTTTTCATAATAATGTTCAAATTGATCAGAATCGGTATCAAACTCACCCTTTTCCCACCAAATCGTTTTCCTTCATATAGTTCTCCCTGAGGCGTTTCCACTGTAACAGGCTACAAATATTTATGTAAAAAATAAAGAAAATGAATAATCAGTTTTAAAAATAAATACTTTGAAAATCAGATGATAGTCAATTAAAAACAGTTGTACTAACAAGGGCTTTGCATCTTCATGCTACAAATCTAGACTAATGTTAACATAGAGAGGACCCCTTTTAAACCTTATTCTCTCTGCCTTTCTCCTTAATAGTCTCACTCTTCCCAACATAGTGATGCCAATTTTGTCTTCCACTCAGTCTCCATAATCTACACAAACTAACATTCAGTTATGACTGGTAGCCACCTACCATTATATGGTACAATAATGGAATGTACCATGTGCTCACAATCCCCATTTCGTTGCTATTAAGACTGCCAGAAAAAAATAGACCGGACAACTTGTGAACCCCCATCAAGTAGCAGCCCCCCAAACACTCGCACCGTTCTAGGTAAGTCTGTATTCAATCAGCAGTATGTTTATATTTTTTTCTTGATTGAATATATCTTGATTTACGGTATAGAGAGAGAGATAACATGTAAGGGTAGTTTTAGAGCTGTAAAGAGCAATTTCAGGACAGATAACCTACTCAGATGGTAATCAATGACTGGAACAGGCATCCAGAAAAGGTGAATGAAATCAGGACGCTGGACTCATTTAAAAAGCAGCTTGATGCTGTAATGGGGGACAACAGGATAGGTGGTCTGAAAGGGTGACATTGGATAGGACAAAGAACCTTCTTCATCCAAACTAATCTTGTGATTGATTCATTCTAAATCCAAGTTTTACACCTTGTAGGATTGAAGGATAGCACAGACAGGTGCTTGCAAAGCACAAGCTACCAAGCTGCTGTTTAACTGTATCTCACACAAGTAATCTTCAAATGAATGCAAGGATATCAGAATAAAATGTAAAATCTAGAAGTCACTGAAAGGGATAATAAGCACACTTGCCTTGAGTGGTAGGAAGGAGAGAGCATGCTCAATCAGCAGCCTCATTAATCTTTTTGAGTAAAAGATAAATTCATCTCGACTTGTATCCTTATTCCTGCGCAATAGACCAGAAATAATCAAAAACCCAATATATACATGCAGTGTAATTACTAAAATATTAGTTGTACCATATCAGATTTTCTAATGGATTAATCATAACAATTACAGAGTTATTTTTGTCTATTTTAAATGAAAGTCTTATACCATACTGAAAATAACTATGGTATAAAACACTCAATTAATGTATCTATTATCAAATTAAAGCAAAAAGGACAACTAATTTAGTTCTACAGAAAACAATGGAATGAGAAAATGCATTAATCTAATTGAGTGGTTTGAGAGACATCATAAACTGCAGCAAGAAGGCTTAAGTGCTTCATAAATCATCTGAACTCAGGTTGCATGATGGTATTGCAGAATTTGTATTTTTGAATAAATACCATGAAGTTGAGTGGTTATTTTTAGGTCAGGCAATTTTTTATTCCAGTAAGCGGCACTGGACTGACAGTCAGTGATTTTTCTACCATTGAATGAAGAAACCGTCATGTAAAAGATTAATGACTACCATCATTACTCAACATTTATTAGGAAATAACATGCTAAATAACTTTACTAGAAAATTCTATAGGCAGAAACAGCGCTTCTTCCTAACCTTAATAAAATGAAATTTTGTGAAAGACAAAATATAATAAAATAATAATAATCCTTGCATTTGTATAGTCGACTTTAATCATCGTTCAAACGTCCCAAAGCTTCAGCGATCTTTATACTGATAAAGGATATTGATGCTATTTGTGGTGAAATGCGCAGGCCAATTGCCGCACAGAGTTCCCACAAATCAGTCAGTAGTTAAATGATCCAACTTTATTATTGTTTTGTTTATTTTGGAGGGATTATTATTAGACGTGTGGAGTAAGGAAACTTGCCCAAGGTTTCGCCTCTGCCTGGAATTGAACTCAGGTTTCTCGCTTGCAAAGTGAGTACTCTAACCACTGAGCTACAGGACTCCACAAATACATATACCTTGTATCTGCAAATAAAGGTGAACTTCGGGGATTTGTAAAATTTAAGTTATTTATTAAACCTTAGAAAGTTAGATAGTATCTTATGCACCAACAAATTTCTCTGAATAAATCTTCTTATTAGTCAATAAAGTAATTGGAAAATAAAATTTGAAACTAAAAGAAACTTACAGAAAGCAAGCTTGAAAATTAATGTTGTATTTTTCCGCAAGATAACTAGTTAAAGTTTTAAAAAACACGTTGATATGTACATGGAAAATTACTTAAAGAAAAATTTGAAATTATGGCAATCCTATTCAATTATCTATAATGTCAACAGGCCCAACTTCACATTGGGACATGCACAATAAAAACAATAAGTCTCATACAACAATAACAACTTGGATTTATATCGCCCTCCACGCCAGATGGCGTCTCAGAGCGCTTCACAGTAATGGATTCCGGGGCTGAGCCAGGGGGAGGGGGAGGAAGGTGACCAAAGGCGCGGTCGAAAAGACAGGTCTTAAGTAGAGACCTGAAAATAGGAAGAGAGGGGGCGAGGCGAATAGGTTGGACCTCACATTCAACTGCAGAATTAGTGTATGCACTTGAATGAGCAGATGAGATAAAGAATATT